AGAACATCCTATCGGTAAGAAGGTATACCGAAAACAGATTTATTTTTTCCTAACGATCATAACAGTAGTAGATATATTTTTTAGCTGAAATTAGGATTATATATTTATGCTTCCAGTTCGGTATATACAACAATGCATGATGTTTGTAGAGTAATAGATGTAATTGAAAAAGAAATCAAATAACATTCAAGATGCTGCATCATTTTTATTAACAATCAATGGAAACTACTTTTCAAGTAACACATTTTAATGAATCTCAAAAGAATTTGAAGTTAGGTCAATAATTAACTATTGATGGTCCTTTACATTCAGATGTGTATATTTCTTACTATCAAGAAACTGTAACTAGGCTTAAATCATTAATGAAATGTTGTTAGATTATATTTATAGACATTTTAGAATTTTTCTGATTTGAAAATCATCCGAGAAAAACATTTTGAGAACATTGTAAAACATTTGTTGTAATGGAGTGATATCTTTTTTCTCGGAAAAAAGTGAAGATTAGTTGATTATAACTAAACTTCATAGTTATGATGATACAAAATATGGTCTTATTATATTATAACACATCAAATTTTTGCTTTGATCCATTAAAATCTCATGTTACACTGATTCTAAGGGTTGTCTTAATTTTAATTCGGATTTATCTTGACCAGAATAATTTGCTCTTTTGACAATCCATTGGCTATCAAACTGTTGTGTTTAATCATGCCATTTCAAATCAATTTTAACTTGATTTTCGAGATTTTCATAAGGATCGTCAATTCCACGTTTATATTGTTTCGTTAAAATCGTACGATTGTCATTCGTTGAATAGTTTTCTGTAACACCAAATGAACTGACATCGTCTGTACCATTACCTTGAACATTTCTATTATTGAATTCGAATTGAGTAACAAAAGTTCCATGCCACTTAAAATATTGATAATAACGCATATTATAAAAATCTGACTGAAATACGTTTGTTGTCGATTTTTTAGAATGTGGAATCGGAGGAAGTCTAATCGATGAAGTGGAAGAAGATCTAGTATTTGAAATGGAAGGAAATTCGAAGTGTGCAATAGGAGGAAGTTCTGGACGCGGCGTTGAAATGAGTTTTCGGTCTATAGTTGCGGGCTCCGTCGTGCATGGAGATTGATTCAGCGTAGTGACAGATACTTTCGATTGGCGTGGCATTCTTTAGTGAGAATCACAACTCCGGATCGTACAACAGCAATTGACAAGATCATGTCGAAAAAAATTGATTAGGTCATTAAAAAAGAACTGAAAATTTGATTGCAACAGCAATCAAAAACACCACAAAGAACTGTATACTTATTTTTCTTTGAGCAGGCAGAAGATGACACAACCAATTAAGAGGCATGGAAGTACGGTAATACCACCTAATACACTGCAGATAATAATAATTGCACGACGTCGGCATTCTTCATTCGCACAGCTTCCTACACCATAATTACCGGACCCAGGATTCCAGCTACTGCCGCCACCTTCCAAATAAAAAAACATATTTCAAAATTGCGAATGTTCAAATCATATGTTTAACAAGTTTATCGTGCTACATAGGATATGCAGAAGTAAGCCGTGGCTTTTTTTTCTGTTCTGTCTTCGTACAATATTCATTTCGATGAATTAATGCATGGTATTTTATAGACTGAATAAAGAAATGTTTTTAAATAGTTTTCAACATTACAAAAGAATAGGTTCAATGGATAGCAAAGACAGGCATCATAGTCCGAACACTTGGAGTCGTGATAGGCTAGAGATCATAATATTGACTATTGTGATCATCGTACGATCTCGATTTCTATTATATATGTGTGACTCAGAAGCTTCAATGAATTCGATAGAATGAAGAGGAAAATAAAAGCTTTCTCACCATGGCGCATAACGTGTATATGAGGAAGGCGAATTATACATATTCAGATAAAGCAGGATGAGCTGGTTCTAACAGAAAATGCATACAAAATAGTAGGAGCTTAGCAACAATGTTCTGGTGACCAGCTCTGTTAGGTTACAGCCAACTCCAACTGAAAGTAAAACTAAGCGTCACTAAATTTCTCTCTTAGAGTTCCTAGTATTTTCTGACGAAAATTCTCGAGTACTATTCTTGAGATGATCGAGCAAACGCAGATCTTGGCTGTATACCGTAAAACTAATCTCGAAAGAAAAAAAGCAATACTATATACTCCTACATTTAGCAACTGTGTCGTTGCAATAAAAATCATTTTCTATGTTCAATATGCTTCAAAATTGACGACATGTTTTACTACGATCATCACTATTGCTAAGATCTTGTCTTCAACATTTCCGCTCACTGTAATTTATATGCCAAATGCATCTACTATTTAAACAACTACGTTTATCTTACTGGAACTTAGCAACTAGAGAACCATAACCTCTAACGAAAACATCGAATTTTTGATAAGGAAAGAGTGTGGGTGTGGGCAAGTTACCAGAAGACCGATACCCACACCCTCGTAATAGTTTGTTGCATTATTAGATATTATGTCTTGATTTGCCGGACTAATGTTTTCAGATATTTCGTTTACTATTGAGTCATCTCTAATTGCCACGTAGTAGTCACCATCAAAGGAGATATCAATGGGAGTATCGATCTTCTATTAACTCGCCCACACCCACCGACACCCACATCCTCATAAATAGATGATATATTCGTGTTACTATATAAGATTTGCCCAGAGTCTTGTTCCAAAACTTGCATACATTTTCTAAATAACAATCCGATGATCTCTATTTTATGAAAAAATGATATTTTCTACAGTTCAAATAGTATGGCAGAGAAAATGAGAATTAGGTGAGACATAGTCAAGAGACGATGGAATACGCAAAAAAAAATATGATATATGACTAGGACAGATCACAGGAAAAGATAAAACGAGTTGCACAGTAAAAAAGATCATCTCACCGTCGACTCTCTGCGTTAACATCTGATATATCTCTTGAAGACTTCATGCTTTAATTCGTTTCAGATACACAAGCATTGAAGTGAATGGGCTCACTGACTTTGTGGGTGTGATGTGTGGGTGCGGTGCGGTGCGGGTGTAAATGTGGCTGTAGGTATTGGTTTTCGATTAACTCGCCCAAACCCAAATCTCTCAAGTATACAGAGAAAAATCGAACTTTAATAGGCATCCACTTTGATCCACTAGAGATATTCAAATTTCCATGTAATCAAACTTGTTTGGAAAATCTTCATTGGTAAAGACTATAATGAAAAAGAAATGAGGATGTGGATAAATTTTTGCGTGAATGGCAGACTCTCACCTCCTTGACGAACAATATTATGGTGATCTTATAAAATCAAATGGAACATTTAGATATTTCTTCGTTTTTACTTGATAAATGATAAAAATGGGATAATTATTGCTTTTCTATCTTTTCATTTTTTGAACTTTGTATGATCTCCGCTCGAATATTAGTATTCTACTATACAAAGAAAAATTTGTCCTCCTAGTTCAAACTTTCTCAAGCATATTTCGACAGGTATTTCACTATGATATGGTTTTTAATATTTTTCGCTTTGATATTTTGCCTTTTGACATTTTTATGACCAAAACAATATTCGTTGTCATTTGTGATTGTTGCTGGCATGCTTCATACATGTTTCTCCTTTTCTCGCTTAATCAGATACTTCTCTCTACATTCTGTCAATTATTGGTTTTTACGACCATATTTTGCTGTTTGTATTCTTATCATCAAAACATTTGTATATTATGGCAAAGGACTATCACCATTCTCTATTAAAATCTTGCGCATTATTATTGCAAGTAAAGAAAACAAAAAAAAATGTGCCCTTGTCAAGCATGATAAAAATAGCTGATAAAAGACCACGCCATAAAACAAGCGTTTAATAAAAAATCATTTTTCTATTTTCTTTATCTCGAACAAAATGTTCGTACTTGCTACTCTTCTTGTCTGTTTGGTAACATTAATAATCGTATATTTATGGACGATTAAAGCTCGTTATTCTTATTTTGAACGACGCGGTATTCGTTGCCCTCCGTTTTGCTTTTTCTTCGGCCATTGCAAGACTATTTGGTCAACTTCTCTAAGACCTCATCAATGGCAAAAATGGACTCGTGAATTTGGATCAATTTATGGCTTATACGAAGGCACTCGTCCAGTATACGTTGTTTCCAATGCTGATTTTCTTCAAGAAGTATTCACTAAACAATTTTCATCATTTCATTCACGACATCTACCATTCGTTCTTCGAGCAGGAAGCAAAAATAAACCTAGTCTATTCGGTGCCACTGGAATCACTTGGCATCGTCAACGACAAGTTATTAATCCAGCATTTACATCAATGAAACTCAAATTGATGGCATCTATGACTCACAATTGCGTTGATTCTTTAATGAAAAAAATAGCAGTATATTGCGAAAAAGAAGAACAATTAGATATTTACATACTCTACAAACGATTGACGATGGACGTGATCTGTGAGTATAATTTGAATGTACACGAAAAAGATTCTTCTTCATTTCTATTTGAATTTTGAAAAGGTCATTGTGTGTTCGGTGTCGATACAGACATACAGAACGATATTGATAATGAATATTTTAAGAAAGCCGAGGAAACGGTGGCATACAATCTTGAAAAAAACCCTTTGGTCCGATTAAGTCAACTAATACCGTCGCTTATTCCGTTACTTGGTTATATAATGACTAGACAAATATTACTAGAACGTTTCGCAAACAAATTCACACGAAATATCGAAGAGATGCCCCGATTCTGGCTTATGCAACGTCTCAAATATTTAATCGATGTACGCACATCATCTATTGACAAAGAAGGTAAGAAACGACAAGTCGATCTTCTTCAATTGATGCTTGATGTTGCCACACGAGATGAAATCATGGTTAGTCTATCAATCTAATCACAACAATAACAATCGAATATTTTAGGATCATACTGATTTTTCTGTCATGTCGAAATTCATTCATTATGACGAGGTAAATCATAATATGTTAACGTTCATGGTTGCTGGCTATGAAACAACAGCAACAACACTTGCTTATAGTACATACGTTTTGGCTAAAGAGCCTCTCGTTCAAAAGAAACTTCAAGATGAAATAGATAATTATGATGAGAACAAGAATGAATATGATCAAGTTCACAATATGATCTATCTCGATTGGTTCATACGTGAAGTTTTACGAATGTTTCCTGGTGCACCACAAGCCATGACGAGAGAATGCAATACTACTACCGTCGTTTGTGGTCATACAATAGATGAAGGTCAGATGTTTATAAGTAAAATCTATTTTATTCATATTTTTTACATTATTTAAAGGCAGTGTCATTCAACCGGATGTATTGTCTATTCATTATGATCCTGATTTATGGGGTCCCGAAGATCCAAACATATTCTTACCTGAACGACACTCAACTCCAAGACATCCTGCTGCTTTTATACCATTTGGTCTAGGTCCTCGTAATTGTATTGGGAAACGATTTGCTTTAATGGAAATCAAAATGTGTTTGGCACGTCTACTTCGACAATATTCGATTCATCCTGGTGATCAAATGGAAGAAAAATTCGAACTAAAAGATACATCTTTTATTCTGCACCCAAAAGGTGTCTACGTGAAAATTGTAAAACGCTCGTAATCGTTTAAATATAATGATTTATTTAGATGGAATATCTCATTTTCTTAAAGATTTTGAGTATGTTTGTATTTTTTACGTTAAGTGACAGTTGTTATGATTAGCATTGATAACGAGATCTCGAACAAATGGTTCTTCAATCGTATTTATGCACAAACACCATGATGACGTATCATTTTAGAACTAATGGCGGACTCAGCAGTTCGACAATGTAGCGATCGTCGTATTATCACGAATAAAGGGTGCAACAATGTCTTTGAAAAAGTCTAACAAATGGGTGGGGTGTGGGTGTCGGTATGGATGCCGATATGGGGCACATAAAGGTTCACACTCACACCCTATTAATTTAATTTCGTATATGGTATCACTAGTATCTCGAGTGTTGAGGCGAAAATACTGAATAGAAGTTTTTGCCTTTCTGACGTAGTTATAGGATAGTCAGATCTCAACTGTAATCTATAATTCGAACAATTATTTTTACTTTGTCTTTCGATGGTTCCAATTTTCTTCTTGTCCGAATTTGCATTTCTGTTTTTCCTCAAATCAGGCATCTACCTATTATCTCCGTATTTTTTTGCTAATCGTGCCAGGGATTCGAAAGTTTTGTTAAATTTTCTTCATGTTTTCGATAGAAGTTAATGTATCTGATCAATTACTGTTTCATTTGTTGTTCGTCCTAGAAATTCAATATTTCTCTCTATTAACAGCATAATTTTCTACGATTTCTTAGCTGATCAGCAATACGCACTCGATGTAATCCTTCTGCTACTCACATCTTCTACCTAGCATTAGCGTCACATATGGTAATCTAGCTCGCTGACAGTAGCGAAAACACAAATTCATTCGTATAATAAAAAGTATATTTACTTTGATTGGATTGGTCTTGCAAATAGAATGTAAGCACTACCGCCAAACCAATTCTTGTCAGTAGCGCTCCAGCGCGAGCCATCACTAGAGAAAGCCGCCATTCAGACCAACAGCTGAAACTAGCAATTAAAAAAATATGAGTAGATTTACAAAAAAAGAGAATAATATATACTAATTGTGAAATCCTACTTTTTCTTGAATTTTCCATTCATTGTCTTTTTCATTGGTCTTCTGTGGGGATGAAATTACATCTTCATTCCATATGCTAAGTTTAGATACCATGGTTCGAAATAAGAATCGAATTCGATGTTCTGAGCAACACAATTAAACGAATTGTTAGATTTTTTAGATTGGACTGAAATTACATCGAGCGAAACATTACAAATTGACGTATGCAGCGAATGAAGAACGATTCTTTCTGTTTTGTCTCACTACAAGTGTTGAGCGCATAATTTCATTTTTTCTGTGTACATAAAGCCGTTGAAATTAGTTGTCACAGCTATTTCACCGATGATTTCATCAATACAAATTAGAAAAAAAAATAAAAATAATTATAAAGTATTCTGAAACTCTGTTTTTTCAATTCGTTACGTAACCGTCGGGTGAAAATCGTATCGCACTGTGTGGGTGTAGGTGGAGATGAACAATGGATGCACACATGCATCCATGTTATCGTCCGGATCTGATCGTTTCCAACTTTACATATCCGATCGAAACTGAGTAAAGCCGGTATGAGGATATCAATGAAAAACAGTGTAAATAATCTGAATATGTTGGAAAGTAACTAAATCAGATTCGATCACCACGTAACATTCGGTTCCGAACTCGCCCAACGAAATTCGTTGTACCTAGCTTGACTTGGAAGAGAACTGAACTCAGTCGTTTCTAATTTTCATTACTTTCCTGCTGGTAGTCAATTCGTAGCAGTACATCTCCGTCATCGACGAAAACAACAACATCAATCATTCGAATCAAGAAAAAGTCTCAAAAATACTCACTCATCAACAATACTGTCAGACCGTGGTGTTTAGGGAGCAAACTTGTGGAGGAATATTTTCATTTCAGAACGAAAAACACTTTAGACAAGATAAGAATACTTATATTTGGGTTTGTATACAAGAGTATCGATAATCAAAAACTATGTACGAAAACTAGACTAACTCGCTCTTTCCCCTCTATGATCTCTTGTTGATCGAAGGTCTTATCATTATTGGTGTAAACATAAAGAATTATTTATTCTTCTTATTCTTTTTCTTCTCTAAGATAAGACATTGTCTAATAATTTACTTGTCTTACTTTTGTTTAACACGATAACAGCTGAATGATAACTTGAGAAAAAAAAACAGAAGAGGCGGTGCGAAGTGAAAAAACGTCTTAGTTTTCACATTCATCGTCAAACGTATAAAAGTTTGAAGCATTACATTCTTCGGTTAAGAGTCAATAATTATTAAATTAGTGAATACTATAGGTAAGAAAGAAATGCGGTAAAGTTCATCATAAGTAAGTTTGAAGCATTCTGCCCGATCTAAAAAAAACAAGTAGAAATCAATTCGCTGAGACTAACAAAAAGGAATTTTATCGAGTTGCGACGAAGCTACTGTTTCATGGATAGTCATTAACAGAGACTGAGAAATCGTCCAAAGATACTCACGCTACTGCGTGATTATTACAAGAAATCATAATTTTCTTTTCATTTTTTTTTCATATTTAGCAGCATAATAATGCTCACCAATCTCTTTGTCGTCATTATGCTTTCGACTGCAGTAGTCAGCGTCATCAAATGTCGTGAAGTGACGATTAGTAATGTAATTCCTCGTCGAGATACAGATGGAAATATAATGGATGCTCATGATGGTAGTGTTTTTTTGTATGAAGATCTCTATTACTACTATGGTGCAAGTTACGGCCTATGCAAAGAACCCCCAGGTCCATCAGGCTGTACCGTATGGTATCCAGGTGGATGCGGTTTCCAACTCAATCATAATATAAGTCTATATACTTCGACTGATCTTGTCACGTGGACATTTCGTGGATATGCCTTTCAAATGTCTTCGATGAAGACTCAAGGAATAATGTTCTGCCCTCGTGTTTTACCCAATCCGAAGACAAAGAAGTGGGTTATGTGGTTTAATTTTCTGCCCGCTACAGGTACAGGTGTCTCTGAGTCGCAGTATGCTGTGGCCGTATCCGATACACCACAAGGTCCCTTTGAACTCGTCACTGATAAGGTGAGTACTCTAGCATGGGAAAATACAGGAGATTTGAATCTCTTTCAAGACAATAACGGAGATGCTTATATCATTTATACTTCGCATATTGATGGTAGTGTTTACAATCCTAGCCATTTAATGTCTGTGGAGAAACTGTCCGATGACTATCTTAGTTCACTAGGTAAAGAGTTTAACAGTGGATATTTTGGTGAGACTTTTGTCGAAGCTCCGGCAATGTTCAAACGCAATGGAATCTACTATGCAGTGTTTGGCCAGTGTTGTTGTTACTGTGCAGAAGGATCATCTGTCACTGTCTATAACTCTTCGTCTCCCATCGGCCCTTTTGTAACAATGAATAATTTAGGGAACGAAGGTCATGCTCAACAGTACAACATTCTACAGTTTAAAACTACTGGTGATGAAGATTATGGATACTTGTGGCAAAGTAATAGGTGGCAAAGTTCTCCAGATGGTGCTAAAGGACATGACTTTACCTACTGGTCACCTCTATCTTTCGATAAGGATGGCAATGTGAAGTATATGAACTATACTGCTAACTTTACCATTGATGTAATTTCCGATATTCATTAAAATTTACTTTGTTCTTATCATTTCATTTATTTGTTGGACTAATTCTGTGAGATATTGTATTGTTTCACCTTTTATTTGGTAAAGAGATAATGGGCAGTTTTAGCATTTTGGATGTGGGTGTGAGTATCCTTTTCTTAGTCAGTGTGTCTTAGTCGTTCGTGTCGATCTAGCTGACGTGAGCGGGAGTATGCGTATATTTTTGGAATCTATATTGGGCAGGTGCACATCTAGGTGTGAATCTTATCAGAGTTCGAGCCAGTTGACTGACTCTTACTGGTTTCGTTGTCTTTCGCGCACAGAAGCGGATACCCAGATACCTTCCTTCTGTATCATGTTCGCAAAAGGGACAAGAATTGGTAAAGAACGGCTTCAACTCGAGATAAGCATTTAAGATATGGATGCTCATGTTTCTCGAGTTTCATGAATTCGTTAATATTGGTAAGTTACAGAGGGAGAGTGAATTTACAAGAGTTCCCGGAGTTCAGAATTCATGGAATTCGGTCACATCTCACTCAAGTAAGCAACGTTTTTGAGACAATTGAGCAATGAAATGTTTCTACATAGAATTGCTACTACAATCGCATACATCTTCTGTAAAAATTGAACTTGTTAAAAAAAAACGACGCAGAGTCATGAACAATACAGGTTTGAAAAAAGATATAGTTTTGTCGATTAATTGAGCCGTTGTACGATTGTCTCATCTCGACATGTCTTCAGAAAAGGCATCAATATTGTACCGCCAGTACCGCGAGCTGACGATGTTGTTTCACCTGCTTTCTTGGATTCTAACTGAGCATCATCATCGTTCTTCCGTATCTGTGCTAAAATATAGAGTGCTACAATTTGTATATGTTTATTTCTGAATTCTATCAGTTGATCAATGCAAGCATTGTAAGCATAAAGAAGTTCACTTTCATGTTGTTCTTCTTCAAATGATGTTAGCTTCTTCACAAAACCACTTATATTGTAATTATCGGCACCTAACATTTCTAGAAATTGACGATGCTTCGGTGGCATGTAAAAACGCATTTCACTGATAAATTCACGTGTCTGTTCTCTGTCATGTTTAACATCGAAGAAAACATCGAACGCTGCTATCAATGAAGATTGAGCTGCTGATGCACCGTGTAAGAATTGTCGCGTCTCACTGACACCTTCATAAAGCATACCATCGGGTAACAAAGGGTTCCCTTTCCAACCAGCTAGAAAATGTCGTACTCGATTATAAAAAATGTACGGATCAACTTCATCGTACATCTTTAATAGGGTGGCGAAGATGGCTTTTTGAACACTATAAATTGTTTGCAGTTCATTTATTAATTCTTTGACCTTTCCTTTACTAGCAAAATATTGAGCTCGCAACATATGTTTTAAAGCTTTTGCTCCACGACATTCTAATTCTATGGTAACCAAATAAAAATTTGCTTCGTCTGTACCCGACAGAAAACAATTTAACATAGCAATATTGCCCAGTTCAACCGGTTTCTCAACATCAAACCGTTTCCAGTTTGTTAAGGCAATCAATGAATGTGTTAGAACAGGTGGACGACACACCCGTCTCGTTAGTTCTACCCATGGAATAGCTAAACATGACGGGATATAAGTACTAATAGGTTTTTCGCCCCATACAAATGCATGACTTAATACGGCAAGAACGAATAGTGCACGTTGACATTCACGTTCATCCAATAAATCGTTCTGTTCAATGTGTACAACTTTTAAACGTGATAAAATTATAGAACGAATATTTTTTGCATGCAAGCATTGTGATAGATCCATCATTATTAATTCCCAGCATGCAAATTTGCTGGAAAGTGACAACTGAGGTAATGGATCAACAGGAGGTAAGAAGCCACGATTAATATCAACGGAATACGATGCCAATAGACGTGTGATATGGTGATCAAGTAGTTCATCCAATTGACTATTGTCGATATTTTTATCTAATAGCAAATGCTCAGACGGATGTGGCAGTTCTGGTCCATAACACGGTAGTAAAGTTTGACGTAATAACGACGTGGAATCTTCATGATCTACATTAGTGTCAAGTTGCAGTACTGTGTCCTTGTAATGTTCATTATTGACTATATCCATCTCTATATTTTCAATATCGAAGAGTTATCGATCACAAGTGTTTCGTTCGATTGTGATATCTAAAACGATTGAGATGCAGTGATACTAAGAAGAAAATGATATGTGTGCACTGAACGATAAGTGTTTTTTTTTCAGATTTTGTTATTTACACATCGAAGATAGAACACGACGTCCTTAATCGCGAAAAAAAGTTTCTGCTAGAATGAACTCATGTTTCAACCACTATGCCATCCATGCTACAAATTTCAAAAATCAGGTGCCGACGAAACAATGGAGAATGATTGTTAATTTTTGCTTTACAAGAGGTTTTCGATGAAGTTAATGATGTATTCACTTAGGAGTTGAGTTCTAGTTTTCATAGGCATCGATTAGACTTTTTCATTGCCATTCACTCATTTATACAACTCGCATGATCGAAAAAATTTCTGTAAATTATTTTCCTTTCTTATTACAATTCAGTACGACACATTCTATAGAAATGACTTCCTTTTTACTGGCGTTCCTGACTGACATCCGAAAATGCGTTTTCGAAACAAAAACGGCCCTTATGAATCATCCTCGATGTAGAAACGTAATATGACACTGAAGAATATAGATTTTTTTGTCATTCTGTCATTTTTTTTAAATATTATCTTTCTCACTGTACAAGGCCAGTCTGACCATCACTCTTAACGAAAATCATTTGTTTTCAACTTTCACAATTTTGTGACAAATAGCTCAAACTCAACTGAAGTTCCATCGGTAATAAATACGGCGGGTGGTGTTGTATTACAAGGATATTTTATTAAATCTGGAATGGAGTTATTACGAAATGATTTCGCTAATTTTGCTCTTACTGATAACGTTTCCTGAACACATTTACGCAACAAAATTGTTCACCATGAAATTACTGTAACAATGAAGAATGTATGTGAAATAAAAATCAGAAAGAGGTCTCCTACAGGATACAGAAGAGACTGATTCTGAGACAGTTTCGTAACAGTAGCTTGCTACGGTGTGTCAGGATAGACGTCTGATTGTGAGAGTTTGACAATGTATAAGATTCGGTTACCTTTAAGTATTGGCTATGTTATAAGCATAGAGAGTAACTATTCTTGTGAAAGTCGTCTCATAAAAGAATCGTATAACGCTTTTGTTACAGCTAGACTAATTTCAGTCGCTATCTTCATGCACTTTGTTGGATCTATTTAGGTTGCTATGGGGCTGTTTCTTTTTATCATTTCTCACTTTTCTTTCCTCTCACAAAAGCAGCCTAAGAAGAAAAAAAAGAATCAAGAAAGAAAATAGTGAAGCACATCATAAAACAGAATGATAAGAACAAGAAGAATACTTTTTTTTCTTCTTCTATATAAATAAAAGAAAACGTCGATTTATTCTAAAAGAGCAACTTCTTAAGGGTGTGAATATGGGTGGGTGGGTGCATAAATCTCCTGTATACCCATACTCCACACTATATATATCTTTCTTTGTCCGTAAAATCTTTTTTATTGTTAATCTCATGATGACATAAGTACTATTGAAAGCCGGTATATAAAAAAAAGAAAAGTCTCAAATTCATCTTTTGCTTAACTTTTCCATTTATTGAAAACTTTATTTGTACCTCAAACTTGATCGTATTTCCTGCAACTGTATGGTAAAAACTATTTTGACAGTAATAATGTTATCTCACCACAGAACTTAGTATGAAAGTAACATATATGAGAATTTTTGATAAGTTTTGGGTCTATCTTGGTGTTTTTCTCGAGTGTTCAAGCTAAACAGACAGTGAATTAATGCACAAATTTCATGGCATAAGATTTCCACAGTAAATCCTAAAGGTTTCGTTATACATGATAGTACGATATCTCGGACGTCACGCTTGTTAGCGAAAAATGTTGGTTTAAACGGAAAACAAAATTCAGATTAATAAATAGAAAACAAAGAAGAATTCCTACATGGTTAAAATCATGTACATGTCAAAGTGCTTCTTTTTTGATTGACTCATCAGAATATAGATTAAGGGAGAAAAACAGAAAAAAATATATTTCAACATGTTCATAAACTGCTAGATCATGTAAATCGTCTTTTGTAGACTCAAAATATCTTCTGAGAATGACAATGCGATACTATTCCAAAGAGGCCACGATTCATGAAAAACTTAAAATGCATTGACAATGTATACCAGGCAAAAGAATCATAAAAATCTTCTTTTTTCATTGCAATTTGTTCATAGTAAAACCTGATAAAAAATGACAGCGATCTATTAAAAAAAAAATAATTTTCACATAAAATGTTCTGATATGCGCACAAATAATGTGACTAAAAGTTCCTCTTTTAAAATAATTATGAAAGAAAAATTCGTTAAAACGCGATGAGTCATTAGAGAAAAACGAGCGATTGTTAAACATAATGATATCCATTCTGAAAATACACGTAAAAACGTTTAGGTGAGACCTTAGATTTACTCTAACTCTTTACCTACATCCGAATGGGAAGGCAGCTGCTAGCAAGAAAATGAATGAATAAAAGAGAACGAGAGAAGTACTCACACTCAATTCGTTGACTAACATCATACATTACAAAGAAGATAAGTAAGAGTGACAAATAGATGGTACTGCCTTTTATTCTACAAGTTGCTACAGTGATCAGTTAGACGGGATATTACCGCGATATAACAAGAAACAAAATGTGATTAAGAAAAAAAAGCCACTGACTCTCTGCTCTTCTTCGTGAAAACAGAAATGCAAGTAGAAATAGATAGCAAGGAAAACATATAGCCATTTTCCGTGGACGTTAGGATTAGATGAATAAACGAAATAGAAATAACAACAACAAAAAGCTAGGCTATAACCTATAAGAAAACAAGGAAAACTAGAAAGGCGGACAGCGAACAACAACTGACTTGATCTAATATCAATTGATGTTTATATTTATCCATGAAAACCTCCATCAGAAATAATAACAGCAGAATATACGACCGAATAATAATGTAAAACTGATTAGATTGATAGATGTCATCCAATATCAGTATTACCTACAAGCAGAACAAGCAAGTGTGTACATGCTTCTGATCGGTGCGTCTTACTAACAAGTAACAATCCTTATCGTGTGTATATGTCAATTGAGATAAGACCTTGTCTACACTTATGAATTAAATGTATTAATTAGAACTGAGAAATGGCCACCATAATATAATCGAAGTGCATAATTCTAGTATGTATTCAAGAAAAACAAAATGTTGCTTCTGTCTTTCTTACCGTTCTAATTTATATATTTCAACTGCCGATTCTTTAAGTGTTGTATTATTGCTCATCTTTCTACTACAACCCCTATTCAGATCTGTTGTACATGTTATGATAATGAAAATATATATTGATTGAGAATATAAAACACCTATAACGAGAAATATACATCCGTTTGGTTAGTGGATCAAGTTTTTGCTCGGTCGGTACATTAAATTTAATTCGTCTGTGAAAAATGACTCAAATTCGAGTTAAATTTTCGATCAATCACGTTTTTTAATTCAGCATCAACTTTTCTAATATAGACAGGGCAAGAGACGAATTGAATTTTATGCGCTAATCAACAAAGAACTTGATTCATTAACTAAAATGGTGTATGTGTCATGATAAACTCGCGTTATATCAGCGATGGATAGATATTTTCAATATGATAAATTGTAGAATATAAGTAAATCGAAGCTGGAGCCTAAGAATCAATAATACTACAATATTAAAATGAATTCTTAGTTGAAAGAAATAAGTTAAAGCGATAGATGCTTTTTTAACAAATTTCATCAGTCAGCTATTAATTATCAAAGAGAGTATGAGTATGCTTTTTTAGAAGCGACGATTTAATCTATCTGATTTTTGAAATTCATACCAACAAAGGAGAGACTCAAGAATAACGTTGGAATATTGTTATAACGTCCATCTCAATTCAGTTCTTCTGTTTATTTATTTCACTTCTAAATAATACGATTTATAAGCACAATATAAAATATCAGGTTTTTTTTTATTGAAAATATATATTTATAGCAAATAATCAGTGTTCCGAGCGTTTCTAGCTCACAGATCATATCTGAAATCGCTGTATCAGGTTAAAATGGCGAAGAAGTTAGTTAAACACTACCATATTTATCGCTAATATTGCATGTGCCACCCGTCTTTTAGAATAGTTTCATACACTTCTAAACTTTCAGCTTCAGCAGCAGTTGATTAGCCTATGTCTTCTTGTTGATCTTGCCATTAATATCTGTAGGCATCAGTTTAGGCTCTTTAGTATTTATTTTGTAGAGCTTGATTATTATAGACTTGTTGTTTTTATTGGAAATCCATTTTTTTACCTAAAGATTAAAAAGTTCCAACTTTTGATGGAAGAATTCATTCTTCTTTGATAGATAAAAAAAGCCATTGAATGTGAGAAAAAAAAAGTGCTTCCACAGATAAAAGTTATACATAACTGCATGTGCCATGTTCTATTTTATCACATTCTTTATTCTTATGTTGCTCTTCTCTTATAAAAAATAGTCTAGATTGGATGCAGTTCTCATTGTATATTTTCTTTGCATCCACATCCATACCTTATCTAGTAGTCGATTGTTTCTTGCAGTCTTTGGTAATCTGGTTGTTTCTTTAAAATCAATTTTTGTAATTTATATTCGTCATCTAATGTGTTAAACAGTGTTGAAGTATATGGCGAGACAAGTAAACCACCGTACCCTCTCCTCGACTTGCCCTATGAACGCATGCCAGACATGTCGACATGGTATTTTAGATTGTAATGAGATTGAAATCCATAAATTCAGAAAAATCGGCTTTTTCTCACGTGCAATATGGTCTCTTAGCCTCTGTTAGAGACTTTTCAACATGCTGCTATGCTTTCACATAGATTAAAATGTGAATAGCTTTTGAACAATTTAAGTAATTTATATGAGCTATGTGTTATTTCATCTGATATTTCTGTAATTTTTACACCACATATTTGAAATACGCCAAAAATGCTTCAAAATCTGCATGAAG